CGAGTTATATGGAAGTACTTTCTAACATCATTTAGACACCACTGATAAACGGTGAAGGAAACGTGAAGGAAACCTGGGCTAATAATTTGTAATTATAAGTTTGAAATCGCCAACCCGTATTGAGCAAGCGTGATGATTAATGTTAAAACCTTCTACGTGTGAGAAGAGGCCTTTAGTCAGCATTAGCTACCTATAGGCTGTTGATGTTGTTGATGTGATCTCTAAAGAGTTTTGTGTAACACGGAGTGAGCTACTCTTTACTACTATTACTCACGTAGAGTGGGGGTAGTTACTAAATATTAATTAGATTTGACTGAATATAAGTAATTTGCATCTTCGGTCCACAAGCTATGTGATGGAATTGGAGTACACCACCCATTCACCCTTCTTTAAAAGAACCGCTTAATATTTTGACGGGGGAAAAGCATCGGATGATTTCTTTCCCGTCATCGGTGAGGCGACAGAGTGTCAAACTCTTACTGACTTCAAACTACCCCGTTCTTAGTACTACTTTGAGTCGGAACCCCGGAAACTCGTTAGGTTATCCACTGCTCCGGTTATAAAAACCGCTAAGGAGCAAAGTTTCTTGCCAACATCTGGGTTTCTAGAAGACAACCAGTGTTATAATCAACAGGCGTTCTCCATTGTTAGCCTGATGTGTAAAAGTTATTTCGTAAAATTAACACACATAACATCAGGCCTTTTATCCCCGAAGGGGTAGGCAGAGGTGCACATTATGCCACTGTACAATGTAACACCCGCTTTTAACTATTTATGTTGAGTCCCATGTAATAGGGGGTGAGCCTATTGCCATATAGCGGGCACTATTCCAGACTCCGTGCTACTACTGAGAATTTTTAGAAACCCAGTACCTAATACTTTTCCCGACCCGGGAATTGAACCCGAGACCCTTTGCCCGGCAGTCGCACTTGCGACCACTCGGCCAACGAGGCAGTCGTAAAATTAAATATCATAACATCATTCGCATAATGCACCAACATTGTCAATTCGCAATTATAGCTCGCTCGGCTCCGGGAAATATCGATTTTGTCTCGACGAGGGATGTTATTGCGAGCTAAGGTCGCAGAATGTAATACAGGTATATTTATTAAATGCATTCGAGATACTTCGCCGGCAGCGGCGCGCGGCGTGACATTGAACGTGGGGCAAGCTAGAAAATGCTTTTAGATTAACATAACATGACATCACCCCTTTATATCCCCGAAGGGGTCGGCAGAGGTGCACATTATGCCACTGTACAATGTCACACCCACTTTTCACTATTTATGTTATGAGTGTCATGTTATAGGGGGTGAGCATATTGCCATATACCGGGCACATTTCCAGACTCCGTGCTACTACTGAGATTTTTAAAAACCCAGTAATACTTTGCCCAACCCGGGAATCGAACCCGAGACCCCTTGCCCGGCAGTTACACTTGCGACCACTCGGCCAACGAGGCAGTCACTTTTAGATTATTATTTTGTTATTTTATAAATAGGTGTTTTTTATGGGATAAGCCGGTAAACGAGCAGACGGATCACCTGACGTGTTAAGTAATCGGAGTCGCCTGTGTACACCCGGAGCACCAGAGGCGTTACAAGTGTGTTACCGGCCCTTTAGGGATTAGAAATTTGGGATAATTGGGCCTCCGGTAACTTCACTCACAGAATACAATACAAGCGTTGTTTCACGCGTCGGTTTTAGTAGCAATTAGTACCTTATCTAACTACAGTTAATACTTTAATCTACATCTAGCATAAAATTCTGTACAAAGAAATCGTCATTCAGTCACAAAGTGATGCATTTCGAATGATCACATTATATGAAAAAATTATGCGCTCATCTGACGTATAGTCCATCACTTTACAAAGTCGACGGTTTGCTTTCTTCAAAAGATTATGCTAACTATAAAGTAGATTAGTCTCCCACCAGGAGTCAACGGCAAAAAAAATACTTTATTAGATGTTTGGACGGCTACAACTACTCAACCCACAAATGGTACCATAGCTGACACTCATGAAGCTTCATGACACAATTCCTAGAAGCATCCCACAAGTTATCGACTGAGAGAAAATAGCTAATAAAAATTTGCGACTGGCAATATGGATATATTGTGGTGTGATTTGGTGTTTCTGTGCCCGGCGTACAGTGGCACGCAATTTGAAGTTAGGAATTGTGACAAAAATATTAATAATTTCAATAAAAAAACGAAAGTAAAATGTTTTATTCCAGCTCCTTTCAACACTCATAACTCAGTCCAGACTGAGATTTCCATATATGAGTCCATAGACAATTTCGTTTGTAGACATTCTAGATAATATTTTCCATAAATCATCGACTGCCGCCAGAAAAAAGAAAGGCACCAATTTTAGTCAATGCCCTTTTTGTGAAGAGCTTACTTTCGTTAAGCGTAACTTTTCATTCGTAAAAAACGGACTTTATGACTAGGGTGTTTATGACATCTCCCGCCCGTGTGAGGCGAGAAAGAGTGTAAGACTCTTACTGACTAAAAACCACCCCGTTCCTTTTCCTGCACGTCGGGCCGGAGCACCGGTAACCCGTTAGGTTCTCCGCGACATGACCAGGGTATAAGTATAGGTCATACTTTGGTAGAATAAAATTCAACCTTGTATTTACAAACGGTGAATGAAAACATTGAAATGATGTCAGTATATTACTCTAGTACCGAAGCAAACAAGGGGAGGGGGTACCCACCCCAGAAGCCAAATAACATAACTACCAGAACTTAAAAAAAAACTAACCTAGACACAGACGTTTGTTACCATCTTTACGACTGGTAACCAAGTGCATGAACCAAACTTGGAAGCAGCAACAGGGTAGACGTCACGAAATTAATATTGAACCTCACGATACAATCTTATACTATTATATAAAGCGGAAGAATTTGTTTTATTTGTTTGTTTGTTTGAACGCTCTAATCTCCGTAACAGCAAGTCTGATTTGAATAATTCATTTTGTGTTGGATAGCGCATTTATCGAGGATGGCTATAGGCTATAAAACATCACGCTACGACCAATAGTAGCTGAGCAGAGTGGGTGAAACCGCACGGACGTAGCTAGTGACTTCATAACAGGACGCTAACCCCTATTCTTTAACCATCATAACAAAGCTGCAGATAAGAAGGTGTTACATTGTACACGAGTTCTTCTGTCTACCCCTTTGGTGAAATGAAATCTCACAAAACAATAACAAATCAATACCTATGCGCTATGTATGTAATGTCCACGAGAGTGTAAAGGTCACAGTATGAAGGTTGTTTATAACGCGATCAATACTGAACCTCGCTTGCAGTAAAGGTTATAAGGCATTGCAAGCGAGGGCGATTTGTATAACAAACACTTCGGACTGAGTTGGAACGGAGTGGTTTTTAGTCAGAAGAATCTAATTCCAACCTACCTCTCCTAAAATTTAAGGAACCCTTAAGCTGAGAAAGGTAACACTTAACGACCTTTTGGTTTTCACCAACCTGTAAGTGACACCTAACAGTACAAACATGGAGTTAGTTTAGGTGTTCTCTCACGCTAAGTAACTCTTAGGTAAGAGATGCGGTTGGCGAAAACGGCCATGACACTCCCCTCCCCTCACCCAATGCGGACCGACGGAAGAACATGAGCGTTTGGTAAATTTTTTTTTGAGGAGGGAAAATCATGAACTAGCTCCTCCCGCCCAGGGTGAGGCGAGAGAGATTGTCAGATTTTTACTGACTATAAACCACCCTACTCATGCTTCAAGCCGGTGCTTAATCCTTAATACTTGAGGTTCGTTGCAGCCCCGGTCGGGAGGGTTTAGTACCTGAGTCAAATAAAGGATTTTGGACCCTTTGTTTGAAATAAGAACAGCTGGTTTAAAAACTGTCAATCTGAATTTGGCAATATTCTTGTCCCTCAATTTAACAAAGGTATTTTACTCTATTAATATAACTGACGAACACTTTTAAACCTTTTACCTACTTCATAAAATCTTAACTACCCACAACATCGGAAATACAACCCATTACAGACTAAATACCAGGAACCAAAAGGTCAAGTTTCCAGAAAACAAATTAAAAGAAAAAAACAATTCCTTATTTAAAATCGGAAGCCGGTTGGAATCAATTTACGTTAGACAAGTAACAGACAAGACAGCTAATTCCCATTGCACATGAGCGAAGCGTCGACAGTTCCACGCTCATTCCAAATTCAAATTGATTTGGGCCGCTTTGAATTATTTAAATGGAGCTTTAGTACTCGTGTACCGGGCACAGGAACCCGCCAGTTAGGGTGCAACTGAATATTTGATGCGGTTCTATTTTTAAACGACTACCGATTGATTTTGTTTTAAAATTACCGCTACAATTTACTGGCTATTAAAGGTTTGTTTGGTTTCAAATAGATTGACAGTGTAATCATGGCAATGGTTATCTTTAAAATATTTAACTGAGATTTTCGAGATTGAAAATTTAGATCTTTTACAGAGTTTAAGAGTAAAATCGTTTCTATTTAATTCGTAATCCTGCTTCGGATATTTTTCATAAACACTTCCAAAAATGGACTCAGCAATTATATCAATTTAGCACTTGGCACGTGCTAGCTCATCGTGATCATCAGCAGCAGCCGAAAGGTATCTACTGTTAAACAAAGGCGTCCCTCTTATAAGAGGTGCACATACGACACTGTACAATGTACTACCCGCTTTGCACTAATTATGTTATAAGTCCCATGTAATAGGGGGTGAGCCTATTGCCATATACCGGGCACAATTCCAGACTCCGTGCTACTACTGAGATTTTTTTTAAAACCCAGTAATACTTTGCCTGACCCGGGAATCGAACCCGAGACCCCCTTGCCGCGGCAGTCGACCACTCGGCCAACGAGGCAATCAGGAAAAAAAACTTGGAAATACTCAATAGGTCGTTAGAAACTTCGAGGATGTCGCTTCCCGTCCATATTAGGATCTAACCAGATTCTAGAGAACCAGGTAGTAGTTTCATACTCACAGCTCGTTGCAAGTCTCCAAACAGCAGGGCCCAGTATCTGGCTCGCAGTTCGGATCGCTTGTCCCTGCCAGCCGATGCTGAGCGGAGGCGGGTGGCGGCGCGGGGAGTAGCGCGCCGTGGCGGAGGGGCGCCGGAACGCGGTGGCTTGCGGGAGATGCGACCTGCGAGGACAATGGGATAGGTGAACGTTAGATATTGTACTGCAGCTTCAGAAAGGACATTGTCAGATATCTGGAAAAAGCACTGGTAACCGAAATTGTTAAGTAAAAAAGTTTGGGATAGTTTTTAGATATTGACTGCACGGTTGGCGCGGTGGTTGGGCAACTGACTGCCGCGCAACGTGTCGCGGGTTCAATTCCCGGACGGAACAACACTTTGTGTAATCCACAGATTGTTGTTCCGGGTCTAGGTGTAATGTGTATGTGAACCTGTATGTTTGTAAACGCACCCACGACACAGGAGAAAATCCTAATGTAGGGCAAAGTTTCTTTTTAAAAAAAAGGTATGAGCGGAGTCTACTAGTACTTGCGTAGTCACGACTGATTTATATCTGTCTACCAACCGAAACCAATACAATTGATGTGTATAAGAATCAGAAGATCTGAAACAATATAGAATTCCGAAACGTCCTTCCGAAAATATAATTGGATTAAATAAACCGATACCTATACATACAAACACAAACCCTTCATAGCAAACAAGTAAATCGTTTTGTCCTTCACCACAGCCATTACTTCCCATCACATGGAGCAGATATATAGAATTAGATTTGTTATCGATCTACGTCAGTAATACCTTTTACGATATCTATTGTAGAGACGAAAAAGCTACTACCATTTAAGGAGAGGTCGAGTTGAAATTGTGAACCGCGTTCTTGTGAACGATTTTCAGTTTTATTACCAAACAATAAAGCTGAAAAATGTAATGAGTAGACTGACCTCGGTACTTTGATATTACTGAATCGATTGATTTGATCCTGCTAATAGTTTAAGAAGAGGGCATACAAGAATTGCTAGAAAAAATTAATAAACCTGAATCCAGTAACTAAATAACACTTTGCCCTACCTGGAATTATATCTAGCAACTCATAGACACAACAGCCCTTTATTGCTAACACAAGGGGGTGATCTTACTATGGCAATTTTATTTTAGGAAAAAGAATGGCAGATCTTGAAATGTTCTGAAACTTGGTTCTTACTACAATAGGCATGATGACCATGACAGGGTATGAAAATTAAAAATGTAATTAGTCCGTCAGTTAGGTAATGAAAAAATATTAGACACGTATTTTTTTATTTTGTTGTATAATAAAATGATACTTAGATATAACGAATCAAAGTTTAGGAGTGGGGGCTAAAACGTCATTTCTACGTATAAAATGTACATAGAAGTGACGTCACGCGACATTTCCAATCAATATATCTTCGAAACTATTAATTTCCGTAAAAAAATAAAAAAAAAACGTGTCTAATATTTTTAAATAATCTACCAAACGAACAATAAAATAAAAATTAGTCATCTACCCATTCTGACATTCAAGGGATAAAAGAATTAATAGAAAAAGGTTGTATTATTCGATTCACCGCCAAAGACAAAACTAACGAATCATTTTTTCTTTGCGATCACACATTTCTTTATTGAGCACAGAAGACCGCCGCCCATAAAATATCGTTACAATAAATTGACGATGCGTTCCATTGTGCCTCGATGCGTTACGTGCGCTTATCCGCCGAATCAATTGAGCACAACTCTTTACTTACAACGTTGCAGGCAATTACGATACCGTCACAATGGGGTGACTAGATATCCAAGATAAGTAGTAAGGTTACGGATACAGATCTCAACTAGTCGTCATCAATTCATCATCCAAAAGATGTCCCCGAATGACAAGTTTGGTATAATTCCCATGCTTGGCAGACGGCTTGTGGATTATTTCACCAACAGCCTATAAATGCCCACTGCTGAGCAAAGCCTCTTCTCACACGGAGAAGGTTTGAGCATTAATCACCACGCTTGCTCAATGCGGGTTGACGATTACAAACGTATAATTAAAAATTATAAGTTTCCTCACGATGATTTCCTTCACCGTTTGTCAGTGGTGTCTGAATAATCTAAGAAAGTACATATAACTCGGAACAAGTCACATTGGTCATGAACCCGCACCCTCATGCATAAGAAACGGACGTCTTAAAACTCCGGGCCACCAGACCACGACATTATTTGGTGGATTATGCAGTGCTGTTTGTTTCTCAGTGCCTGGTCACAATTTTAGACCTTACCTTGAGTCTTTGATTTGCAAAGGTTCTTAAATCACAAAGAGAATAGTAGAACTTATATCAATCCACTCGTCTTTTACTTCAAGAGAATACCTACCAAAAAGTCTAAATGTATGTCCACAGTAGTAAACGGAGCTATACAAATATAACTGGTCAAATACTTTTTTATCTTTATTTTATACTAAATATAGGGCTTTTATCCTAAATCGAATATGTCCCTCCCATGATCGCATACAAAAATTAAACCTAAGTACAAGGGGTTAAAGTTCTTTTTTTTATCAGTTGTTTTTTTTTTGCTTCTTATTACAAACCAAAAACTTCTTCTTCATAAAACAGTAAGGATGTTGGCCAACTAAAAAGTCAATTGCCCACTACAATGACATACCAAACTATTTAAAGCTGATGACTAATCAACGGTTGATAACAAACTACAACCGCATCTGTCTAAACAGCTTCGAATAGTCAACATTTCTTAGAAATTAGCTAATTATGTATTGGTATGCTAATGTAAATCTATAACACCTTATATGTATAGTAGAAAAGTCATAGTTACAAGAAGTAATATTAAAAATTTTAATTTTTTTTTAGGACATCAGTTTGGGTGTTGGGTGTAACTCTATTAGTTTTTTTAATTTGAAAGTAAAGAGTTTTATGTTTATAAAAAGCATTTCCATTTGCACATATTTACTATGTATGTATGTTACGACAAAATAGGAGGTGATCTTATTGGACACAGCTCCAGATGCAAACTGGTTTCAACTAATATCCTGATCAGGTCCACCCATAGTTGAGATAGAGTTACTATTATGGTGCTGACATTTTGGATATTCGAGGATTTAAAGAACGGGGTTACTCTATTTTTGGTAACCAGATGGTGAGCATGCAGTATGTGTGCGCCTTTAGTTTTTCGTCCAATAGGAAATCAGCTAGAGTCGCACCATTGGTGTTCAAAATCTGACAGCTGCAGCGATTGGATGAAAAACCTCTTGCTACTAGTTGCTTCATTTACGCCATCTGGTGAATAGCCCCCATTAGGTTTTTTGATTACAGCTGGGGGGATAAAGTTTGAGCCTCCAGTAACCTCATGAACTCAACCACTCTTGCAAACATTGTTTTCTGTGAGGTCATAGTAAAAAGTGTATACAATGGCATTTATTGTACTTTAATTTTGTAATATTCATAATTATTTTTAGTTTACAGAATGAATACAATGCCATACTTCTTAGGGATAAACAAGCTATTATTCAAACTGTGCTGTAATACCATTTTTAGTAATATGCTTGAAAGAACAATGATATTACTTTTATGACCAACTAAATACTAACCTTTGTGTAAGTTACCATTAATTTGAGAATAAAACTTTTTGTTAAAAATGTTCAACTGTTTTTTTAATCATCTACCTCCTTTTATTACAAAGTAGTTTCTAAGGAATAGAGGTTCTTTTAGTGTAGATTTAGACTACAGAACAATGAATAAGTGTAGTATGTCCCTAAATATATTGCAGGTGTTGCAGCCGACTTATAAAGATGCCATAGAACTACAAATGATGCAAAAAATCTTCAAATATAAGGACAAAGAAAGGTTGCTAATTCTAATAAGTGCAAATGTGCATACAAAAAAATGGTCAAATAGGTTTGTAGGTACCTACAGGATAAAACTTTATTGTGACTTAACAGTGACTATAAATTGTTTTTCATAGTTTTTATTGACCGTGCATTTGAACCGCGTAATAATTGATTAACCAAAACATAAATGGTGTTCAAAACAAAACATGTTTTACGGAAGACGCAAAGTTACCCTCCCATTCTGCGTTTTATTCTGAATGAAGGCCCTTAGACCACATTCTGGATGTTTTAATGGCATATGAGCTATAAACCATGGTCTATTACCTAGGAGGCACTCCTTTACCGACGTTTTCCGAAACAAATCCTACCGCCCACGGCCAAAAATATTTTGACGCACATTCATATATACACAATAAAAAAATGCATTTACTTGGTTGGTCGACGGCCACATGGAATGCAACTAGGTTCCGCGCCTCCCTGCCTTCCTCCTGCACCAGCTGCCTCACTTCCTCCATCGCAAATCAACCAGAAATTTTATATTTCTGGACAAAACAAAAAGGTAGATCCCGAAACATCACTCGAGTATAGTGATCACTACGTGAACATCGGAAAGCAGTTTGAAACTAATATGAGGTAAATGTAAAATAAAAAATGCAATAAAATAAAATTATAGAGTTAAACGTTAAGAACAGACGAAAATGCGAAAAATAAGTTAGCGATTATTTTCATAACAACTCGCGTTGTGACAGTTTCGTTTATAAATGTTACAAGATATGAAAATCGATGCAAGATGCTCCCTATCGTAATTGCCTGTAGCAAAAAGTAATTTTATATTTTTGTAACGGATTTTTTAGTTTTTTGTTTTTGTGATTATCGAATTCAAAAACATATTAAATAAAGAAATTGTAGTAATTTTGATATTGTCTCAATAACAGAATTACTATTTACAAAACCTACCATATCCTACCGCACATAAAAACTATTAATGAATCAAAAAAATGTTTTTCAATTCTTTTTGTATTTCGGTTTGCAGTTCCACCGTTTTAATATACTTTTGCATTACTCTTTGATTTTTCTTTCAACGTAAGAATTATTAAAATCAAGTAAGTAGGTAGTTTCAAAATTATGTTAATTGGCAATATTGTTTATTTTCGGCTAGGAGCTTTCATTAGTTATTAATTTGCAACACGACCTTCTTTTCGTTGTCAAGCAAGATGGCGGATCAGGTACGTGTTGGTTTTCTTGATAAATTAATTCGAAATACAGATAAATTTTGATAAATTCCTTCATAAAGTGTTTTTAAATTGATAACTTTCTATCTGTGCTATGATTTCCAAGTGTTAAAACTGTGAAATTTGTGAAAATGTGGTTTTTAAGTTGGTGCACGTGGGATTCGGCTTTTTCGTCGAAAAGGCTATCAAAATGTGTTCAAAGTTGTTATAAATCAAAGTATTTACACCAGATTTTTTATAATTTCAGTTAAATTTTCACTTTTTGCTACCGGTGTACAGAAATATTTATTTCGAAATGACAGTGTGCTCGATCGATAGGTTAGTTTTGGTACCGATTGCTAACCATTTCCTTGAAATTATAATGTGTGTTACACGAATAAAATCATGATAAATCGTATTATTAATATTGTATACTCGGAAATGTCAAAAATTAAGTCTCCTGACCGGTTTGGAGGTTATGTTTACATGTGAAATTTTTCGATACTCAGCGACTACTATTGTGTATAATCGTTTATGAATGTGATAATCTTTGTAGCTCTAAAACAATGCCCAAGCTATAAGTACGATTACAGAAAACCAACTAAACGAAAACTTGCACCAGTTCAAAACAATCATTTAGCAATTCTTTATTTTAATCAAATTTAGTTCATTTACAGTCCTAAGATTATGTTAAATGACTAAACAAAATGTATGCTAGATGGAAATCAAGCCAGATCTTATATCTTGGGACTCGAGGTGGCGCTCCACAAGTCCGAGGCCATGTGTTTTCATGGCCGCGGGAATGCGCCACCTCCTGGTGGGTCTCAAATAATGGCGGGAGGGGTTACCATCGGCGTCGAGACGGCGATGAAGTACCTGGGACTCGTCCTCGACAGTCGATGGAACTTCGTGGAGCACTTCCGACGTTTGGCTCCAAAGTTGGCGAGGGTGGGGGCTGCGTTTAAGCGCATCCTCCCCAACCTCGGAGGGCCAAACGCCTCCTGCCGGAGGTTATACGCCGGGGTCGTGCGGTCCATGGCCCTCTACGGCGCCCCTGTTTGGGCGCCGAACCTGCTGCAGCGGCCCGCTCGGGCGCTGCTTATGGCACAGAGGGTCATGGCGATCCGAATGATCCGCGGATACCGCACGATCTCTGGGGAGTCGGCGAACCTCCTTGCCGGATTACCGCCGTGGGATCTGGAGGCGAAGGTGCTCGCGCGCGTGTATCGCATGCGCGCGGAGGCACGTCGCCGGGGCGAAACTCCGCTGCCGCGCCAGATAAGTGCGTGGCGGGATGAGCTCCGGCGCGATCTCATGGCGGAATGGCAGCAACGACTGTCGCAACCGAGGGCTGGGCTCGCTGCCATTGCAGCGGTAAGTCCCCTCTTTGAGGAGTGGCTTGAGAGACGCTACGGCGTCCTCACCTACCGCCTGACGCAGGTCCTCACCGGACATGGAAGTTTCGGGAGGTACCTGTGTCTGATGGGGCGGGAGGAAACGCCCGGGTGTCATCACTGCGAGGACCACCCTGAGGACACGGTGGAACACACTGTTGCGGAATGCCCTGCGTGGGCTGAGCACCGCCGTGCCCTCAGGGAAGTGATCGGCGATGGAGACCTCTCGCGTCCGGGCCTAGTTCAGGCCATGATGCGGAGCGAGGGGGACTGGGATGCCGTCTCCTCCTTTTGCGAAGCAGTCATGCTGGCTAAGGAGGAGGCGGGACGCGTGAGGCAGCGAAGCGCTGCCTCCTCGCAACCCAGCCATCGCGAAGGACACACCGGGCGTCGGGGATCGCGGGACGATCTCCGGCCACCGTAAGCGCGGGCCTGCGGACGGCGAGCATGGGTGGCTCCCCGTCCGACCAGAAACAGACCCGAGCGTACGGCGCGTCGCGTTCCGCGCGCGCCTCAAAGAGCCATCAGACCACCACAGATGGGGCCCAATAGGGCCGATGCCGATTCGGAGTCGCGGAGAACCTAACGGGTAACCGGGGCTCCGGCTCGACGTGCAGGAGAAGGAACGGGGTGGTTTTTAGTCAGTAAGAGTCTGACACTCCCTTCCGCCTCACCCAGGCGGGAGCAGTCATTCGATGATTTTCCCCCCTTAAAAAAAAAAAAAAAAAAAAAAGATCTTATATCTTAGAACAAACAAGATAAAAAAATGAGTATTGAAGATTCTTGCAATAATGACTCTAACATGATGATACCCACACGACGGTCTTCTGAAAAACAAATGACGAAGAACGTGTTCTAACCCAAACTCTGATTATGGTCATCAAAAATCTTCAATATCTCTAAATTGTCTATATGCTATAAAATTGTTACGTGAATAGTGACTGAAACTAATACTAAATGTCTAGTTTTCAGAATGTCATTGATTTCTATTATTATTTTATCATCAGAAAGTCTTATATTGTGTGATCTTATAATTTCTCTACTTTCAATTTCTAGAATGTTTCTTTTCAGCTGTAGTTTGTCTGTAGTTGCTTTACACCTTGGTTTCTTTCGTCCTATCCTTACCTCTTACCTTCACACTCGCAGTAGTTAGAAGTAGCAATATTTTATCATAATACTAATGTATTGATAAAATTACAGACGGAACGTTCATTCCAAAAGCAACCAACGGTTTTCTTGAACCGTAAAAAGGGTATCGGTGTGAAGCGTAGCAGGAAACCACTGAGGTACCACAAAGATGTGGGACTCGGTTTCAAAACACCTCGTGAGGTAAAGGCATGATGTGTGAACTAACGTGTTTATTTTTCCGTAGACAGAGAAAGCGTTTCAGAAGCAGGCTACGGTCTTCCTCAACAAGAAGGGGGGACTGAAGAGGAAAGACATGAGACATTCTAAGAATGTCGGTCTTGGTTTCAAGACTCCGCGTGAGGTGTGGTACTTTTAGATATGGTCGATGGGAACGAGGCTTGCAGCGGTGGTGGCTACGTTGTTTGTTTTGTGTTCAATTGACTGCATTATTAGTTTGAACTTTAACTTACATTATTGATGTATTCAAGATTACAGATATAAAAGTTTTTTCATAACATTTCTTTTACACGAATTTACTAGTGTAAGTTTTTGTAGAGGCTCTCTCTCATCTCTAAGAAGAAAAATAAAAAAATTGAGATGATTGCAAAATTTTCAAGTCAATTGCTCACAAAGCTGTTCCATGTTGGTCAGGAGGAGCTTGCTTTAACATGTGCATGGCTGGAAATGTCCAGTAACTCAATTTATATTGGGATTTATCATTTTGATACTTTTACGATACATTATGGGAAACATGTTAAAAATTATTATTCTAATGCTGTTAAGTCACCATACATAACTTAAACTGAAAACTCAGTAATTAGTGTTACTGTCAATTGATATTATCTAGTAAAAATACCATCTAGTTTTCGTACACTAAATAATGCGATGCAAAATGTTACTTTGAAGAAATATAACTGCGTTGGGCTTTGCTCAATCTTAAAAACTTACCTATTGAAACAAGTTTAAATCATAATCTTAGCATGTTAAGTATCAAAATGATGATTCCGAACATCAGGTGTCGGTCTCATCTTATTTTATAATTATAATAGGTTCTATCATCCATCAGAAGGTATGGTATGCATGCTGCTCTCGATGTAACCATGTTTATTATATTTAAGATTATGTACATAACTTATTGTTATTTATTTTTAAGTATATTTAAGTATAAGGATCTATTTGTGTTGATTGCCCCTAAATGTCCCTTTATAAATTTTATAAAGTATTTTTTAATAATAATAGTTTACTCCCATAATATAAGCTTAATTTTTAACTCTTTTATAGCAAACTAAATACCAATTGCGTGGCGTCATCATTTACACACAATACTAAAGACAAAACTTGCAAGAATGAAAATAAAATTTGATAAAGCGCATTATGTTTAAACTTCTCAAACAGGTTACAAATAAACTTAACAGCTTCTTCATAACACAAAAATAATTAACATTATTTATTCAAAAAGGTGGAGGTATTACACTCAATTATTTATCATCAAACTGCATGATCTGGGAAAGGAATATACACTTGTATTGACTCTAACATGATGATACCCACACGACGGTCTTCTGACAAATAAGTGACGAAGAATGTGTTCTAACCCAAATTCTGATTATAGTCGTACAAGTGTACTTAAAAATTAGTTCTCCATTACTTTTGTAATTTGTATAGTGTAGCAGTGAATAAAGTGCTGAGTATTATGCCCCCTTCACACTCTTAAAGTCCCAAACATGGATGAACAAGCATGTGGACAAATCGTTAACTGTTTGTCGAACAGCCTTTGATCTCAGTTATGTTCGCCACTGTTCGAAACTGATTTAGAACAGTGGCAAACATAAACAAAAACAGGCACACACATACAAACATGTTCGTGTTTGCTGTTTGCCAAGCGTGTGTACCCGGCATTAGAACTTCTATGCATTTGACTAAATTCTTGATTCTTCTATTGATTACTCAATCTAAACATTTTATTATTTAGTCCCTCAGATTAATGTCTGAGTCTATTACTAGACAAAATAATTGTAGTAATATTTACGCACAGAATTTCACTGCTACATAAAAAAATAAATTACCATAATCCATAAAAATATCATGTACTCATCGGGCTAAGGAAACAAAACCGCTTCAAAGCAAACTAACATTAAATCAAACCATAATGAAATACTCAATTTCTTTATCTCAATTCAGGCGATCGAAGGCACATACATCGACAAGAAGTGCCCATTCACTGGTAACGTGTCGATCCGTGGTCGTATCCTCACCGGAGTGGTCCAGAAGATGAAGATGCAGAGGACCATCGTCATCAGACGTGACTACCTGCACTACCTGCCTAAGTACAACAGATTCGAGAAACGTCACAGGAACATGTCGGTCCATTTATCTCCATGCTTCAGGTGAGCAAACCAAGAATTTTCATAATTTCTAGTTAAATAGAACTTGATTTTGGCGCCAACCATACTGTTTAGACTAAAGTTTTTAAACAAAAACTTACGTAATATGTTGGCTTTCGGCCTTCAATGCACCAAAAGGTATTGTAGTGATTGGTAATCCAAATGATGATACTCACACGACGGTCTTCCGAACAACAATTGACGAAAGACGTGTTTCTAACCCAAACTCTGATTCTAGACCTTACCACAGACAACATACAATGTAATGAACTTTTTTCTTTAATATACTCTTTTGTATAATTCCAGGGACGTTGAACTCGGAGACATCGTGACAATCGGCGAGTGCAGGCCGCTCTCCAAGACCATCCGTTTTAACGTACTCAAAGTCACGAAGGGCAAGGGCTCCAAAAAATCCTTCAAAAAGTTCTAAATAAACTTATGTTTTAAGTATTTTGTTTTTTTTTTGTTTGTGTTTACTCTAATTCAGGGCTGTCCAAACTATATACCCTCGCGGGCTAATTAAATCTCTTACAAAAGCTGGCTGGAGGGCTTTTTTTTTAAGGGGGGAAAATCATCGAATGACTGCTCCCGCCTGGGTGAGGCGGAAGGGAGTGTCAGACTCTTACTGACTAAAAACCACCCCGTTCCTTCTCCTGCACGTCGAGCCGGAGCCCCGGTTACACGTTAGGTTCTCCGCGACTCCGAATCTGCATCGGCCCTAATGAGCCCCATCTGTGGTGGTCTGATGGCTCTTTGAGGCGCGCGCGGAACGCGACGCGCCGTACGCTCGGGTGGCTGGAGGGCTAGAAAAATATTTTTAGTTGTATAATGACGTTTAAAATTGTATTCTTTACTCATAGCTACACTGGGTACTTGCAAACAAATCATACACTGAATTGAATTATATTGTTGTTACGTATAAGATGAGATGTTGAGAATAAAATACGTGTCGCGGGCCACATGAAAACAAGACGCGGGCCTCATGCAGCCCGCGGGTCTTCGTTTGGACAGCCCTGCTCTAAAAAGTAAATCAGATATGTTAATCACTGGAAACTTCTTCTTAGTTGTTCTCTTAATTACTGAAAGTCGTGTCGTCTAGTGCTCGCGTCACTTGATGCACAACCCTTCTCTATACGCCTCTGTCCTATGCGGTCTATACGGCTTGTGGGACTGTCAGGCTGTAGGCTATTGCAAAATATGCTTCAGAATTAGTTGCACCATCAATAAACAGGGTTCTCTGTTCCACAATTGCAACGCATTTGTGATAAGTTCTGTCTAGCAATGTGCTCATTAGATGGGATTTGTAATTTTAAATAACTGACATAAAAGTTCACGGCGTGCAATTTAATACACCTAAACCGGTAAGTAGTCGGGGAGAATTTACTTAACTGGGTAACGCACACGAACTTAACGGGTAACCGGGGCTCCGGCTCGATGTGCAGGAGAAGCAACAGGGTGGTTTTTAGTCAGTAAGAGTGACACTCCCTCCCGCCTCACCCAGGCGAGAGCAGTCATTCGATGATTTTCCCCCCTTAAAAAAAAAGTGTAGTTTTGAAAGGAAATTTATACGACCTCATCATTTGCTTATTAAAATTGACGTGTAAAAGTGCTCCTTATAGCCTGGTAGGTAAGTACTTATTTGAGAAGTTACCGTTAAGGTGGATGCCTAGTTAGACCTCGCCATACATTTTTCAGGTGCGGAAATCTTCGTAAATAAACAGTTTCTGCAGAAGAAAAGGAACTATAATGAGACTTTATAATGTATTATGTTTGTGTATAGCCCAAATTTTATTAAAAAATTGTATTTCTAGGAGAATTAGACCGAATAAAAAACGATAAGTCTTTGCATGTGTGAGTGACCTGAATCGCGCCATCTGATAGAAATTTATAGAACCACCGAGAAATTTGGTTGCTGTTGTGTTCCGAGTTTACAATTGGTAAACATTCATAATAGATGGCGCTGTCCGATAATTCGAACAAGCATCAATGTGACGTGACGCGTGCGGGAATGCGACGTTGCCGGTCAAGAAGCAGCGCGTGCGCTGTTGCCGTTCCGTCCATGCGTGATGTCTTGAATCTTGACAACTTGCGAATCATTTCCAGAATATTGTGTTTCTAGCAAGTTAGCACCGGGCGCGCGGGTTTACCCACGGAGTTAAAATTAACGATTGATAAAATGTTTTTTATAATGGGATGAGAATTAATGCTTTACATAAAGTGAAAAAAATATCTCTGCGATGTGTCCTTGGTCTGGTGAGGACCTGCGTCAACCGATAGGTCAGGACGCCGTGATTGCAGCCTGCCTGTACTAGTACACACTAACATTCCTTGACTGCAGATTCAAAAATCTTTGTAATGTATGTAAGAAGATACTGATAACACATTTTCTGATACTCTTAGGTACTAATCCATTGGTTTGGGTTGAATAAAATCAGAGAATAGAATTTGATGTATAAGTAAGTTATAAATCAGGTGATTAGCGAAGCTACCTACACAATAATGAAACGTAGGTACTACGTACATCTATTGATTAAATCATATTTAAATCATGTGAAACCAGCAACATTAGTGAATATACAGACAAACCATTAAGATTTTTCTTAATTGCTTATTTTACTAGTATTATTAGCATGTATACACATACACAAAGTGCGTCAAGCAGGGTTGCCAACTTTATTTTTTTGGAAGATTGTACCATACATTTTAAAAGATCGTACTTTGAATTAAAAAATAAATGGCAATAGAATGTGGTATTACTATAACTTCAACGCAAAATTTAACCTTTTGGTATAATATTTAAGAATCCGTACACCAATTTAGCAACGAAACTTTACTACGAGCTTTATTTACTAAAGAAAAGGGGCTCGGAAGAGACTTTGTCATGAAATCCACACGAAACAATAAACACCAGTATCATTACAACTTAAACGGGATATTTACCATGTTTATTATTACTTTAAAAAATATATTAATAAACACTACTACATATAACAACAAGTACGGATACTTGTATTATAATGTTTCTTAATGCTCCTTACTCGAATTTTCTTGATTATTAAAGATTCAAATTAAAAGATGTTTTATTTCACACTGAAGAATGTTAGCACAGTATTTTAGCATAGTTTTATAGTATTTAGAATAATTTTGACATTTTAATTCAGTAGCAGTCTCCCAGATTTTGTATTAGTCGTGTTGGCAATTGGCAACACTGCTTAATAGAACTTGACTGCCCTTAGGGTATATATGTTCTGTGTTGACTGCACTTGACAACTTGATGGTGGTGTTAGATTAGATCTGCTATTACAAATTTCTTGAAACATTTCATAAATAAGATACATTTGATGTTGAGATTGAATTGCAACTGAACTGCCTAAAATGAACCCGACTAATAAACTTGCGTGTATACGACATACTATGTATTCAGGGCCGCAAAATTCAAGAAAAAAGGTGCAAGCCGCATTCATAAGACATCATGAAAGTTCTTTTAGTGATCTATAGTGAAGAAATCAGATTACTATAGGATTTCAAATCAGATTTACGTGAGTGAAGTTTATTTGATACTCATTGGTTTATGTTCTAGAAAAGGTCGTTATGCTCGATAAGGTTAGTACCTATTATGTATTGAGAAAGTTTTAACAAATTGCAGAATAATGATTGTCACTTTGTTCATTTTAGGTATGCAAACGTCGTATTGCCACGGTCAGAGCGTAGCAAAGGGTGTGCAAGGAGTTTAGGACTTTATTTTTCATTTTCATCAAGAATGAAAATTCTTATAAATTGCTAGTTTTTCATTTTCACTGATTAGTATACCTAATAATAAAGCGAAAATCATTTGGACACCTTTTATCTAGGCCTTATGAGGGTCACAGTTCTCACCTAACTAACCAAATGTGTTGGGGTGCCCAAAAAGTGTTTTACATACTCCCCCAACTGACCTTTAGGGCTCAATTTCAGGCGAACCTGAAGCCTTTTATCTAGATAAAAAGTGCCTAGATAATAGTCATCTTATTTTTAGGTATACTAAACGATAGAAATGAAAAACCGAGCCACTTATAAGAATTATCATTTTTGATGAAAAAATAATTAAAAGTCCTAAACTCCTTGCACACCCTTTGCTACACTCCAACCAATGCCACACCATGTCACAATCATGTGAAATGCATTCTCTATAAAAATAATATTTGTACTAAAGATTTGTATGGAAAACAAAATGAACATGTTGCATAGAGCATGTTTATGCAATAATATGGCAAATAGTCAGGCCATCAGGACTTTTCATTAATGAAGAATTTGGATTCTTAGTAGCTAGCCCTGATGGTAAAATTATTCGATAATAAAAATATACAAATAACTAGTTTTTGTCGCGTGAATATTTTAAATAGGGTTCAGTAGCGTAAGCCTAAAAACTTTTCTTTTTTACAGATATTCAAAATATTCGATAAGCATCAGAAAATAGAAATTTTCCTATTCATTTGGAAAATGATGTTTTAGTTATGAACAAAAAGCATAATTACTATTATCAAGTAAGTATATCATTATTATCAAATATCATTATTATTATTTCATTATTATCAAATATCATTATTTCTTGGTATGTATGTATAAAAATAATGTATTTCTTGGATTGTTTCTTTTTAACAGCTATTATTATTTTGATTCTAGGTCCAGGGTCAATTGCGAATTACCAAAATGAATAAATGTTACTTCATTTGCTATTAGTCACCCAACCATTGACTGTCATAGAAGTTAACCAGAATGAGGAATTTATCAGTACTATGATGCCGAAGTTGGTGACAGTTTTTAAAAGATGTGTACTGCCAGAAATTATTTTGAGAAGAGTTGAGAAAAATGCTAAATGTCTGGACATCAAGGAATTAAAAGGTATAAAAATATAAGTCTTATTCATTTCCTAACTTATTTCTCAGGGCTCTGAGGTGTGGGTTCAGTAAGAATAGTCTAACAAAACTGTGTAAATTCATTTGTTGCAGCGAAAACTGCGTCTTCCAGCATTTGATTCAGATTGCACGGAAATTATAAATGGAAGTAAAAAGCGATAAACAGAAGACTGATATGGCGCGGCGGTGGCGGCGGTGACTGCAAAAAGAAGACATTTTATTATAATATATATAAGAATCTTTGTATGGTGGTACGAGTTGATTGTTCGAATCCAAGCCGGCACTTTGCTTTGTGTAGCCTGATTCTCAGCAGTGTGAACATTATAGAATAATTAATAAGCTATTTTTGCACGTAGCTATGTATAGTTGGTGTTATTTTGTTAGTCCATAAGATTTTTCTGTGTAGATAAGTTTGCCTCATGCATTTAGGTACCAGCCTAACAATTCAATTGTAAAACAATATTTATTGAAGTTCAAAATTGTAAAATAAATAGGTATTCTTGAAACATAAATAAATGTTATGGTTAGCTAGCAACCACTTGTGCGATGTATAGTTTGTGTTATTTTGTTAGTCCATAAGATTTTTCTGTGTATATAAGTTTGCCTCATGCATTTAGGTACCAGCCTAACAATTCAATTGTAAAACATTATTTATTTAAGTTCAAAATTGTATAATAAACATGTATTCTTGAAACATAAATAAATGTTATGGTTAGCTAGCAACCACTTGTTGTTGGTTTTATGACTGTAATGTTATACTAATTAATTGAAATAAATAAATGTAAGATACTTGCAAACTTACATGTGCCGTTATATATACTTATGATGTTATTTATATTGTGATCTACATACATAATAATTCTTTATAATACTAAATTTAAAATTATAAAACTAAGTAAATATCAAAACAATTAAAAAATTATGTTATCTTTGTATGGTGGTATGACTCCATGGTTTGAATCCAGATGGAAACTATCTAAGTAAATGTAGTGAGAGTAAATAAAACGATTATTTTATGAAAATGTTAACTTAGTTTTACTAAATAAATATTATTAATTTATAGTAAGGTACAATAAAAAGCTTTACAATGGAATAAATAGTCTTTCATTTATTTATTTAGTAAAGTCACTATTTACACATTACAATTTAGGTTCAGTCACATTACAACAATTTTTTAGGTGTAGGGTTTTTTTTTTTTTTTAAGGGGGGAAAATCATCGAATGACTGCTCCCGCCTGGGTGAGGCGGAAGGGAGTGTCAGACTCTTACTGACTAAAAACCACCCCGTTCCTTTTCCTGCACGTCGAGCCGGAGCCCCGGTTACCCGTTAGGTTCTCCGCGACAGGTGTAGGGTCTAGGGGTATAGTATATAGTGTACAGTGTAGGTACCTATTTTACCTAAAATAAATTTTATGAATAATTTGCTAGATATCGAGTCTAGAAACAAAAGTATACTTAGACCAATTATTATACTAATAAGAAATAGATGGGAACATAATTTCAAGTATGTAAATTAATATTTTTATAGTATAACGACATCTGGTGGTGTCGAAAGTTACTACTATTTACTTTGCATGTGTGTGTAAACAGTAAAGTGAAGCGGCTAAATCTTTATTTTGTAGTAATCTTTGTATGAGACCAGATAACAAGCACAACGACTATCTAAAAAATCAAGTTAATGCCCTAGGTTTCGCGAACAATAAAGTTATCTATTAAAGATTTCGAAGTTAGGCGTAAAACGTGAAAATGTTCCAAATTGTGGAAGTTACGCCATCTAGCGACAAAATGGCATTTGAGATCATCATCCATCCACCTTAAAGATTAGGTACATTATACCGCACCTACCTAGGTATCTATCTAGACGACTGAAACTGCATTAGTCAAAATAATCAAATGTGCCAAAGTACTGAACTACTTAGTTCATCAGTTATCCATGACTGAAACCGTAGAATTAAAGTTATTGAAGTTAATAATTATAAATTAGTTCGGTAGGTATTAACCCTGAGCCACAAGCACTCAGGTGAAAAGCTACATGAACAAGGATATTTTTAGTAAACAAACTCAATGCTTTTCTTCAGTACTTCCTGAACATTGGAATTACCATAATTCGCTTCCCAAAACAAGGTACCTACCTACGTGACGAACATCATGAACAAAATTAAATTTTGTAACAGCGACATCTAGTTCAAACTGGTGGTTACTTTTAATGTTATTTTCCCGTGACAAGTAAATTGACAGCGTTGTCTATGAACAGCGTTCACATTTCCGAAAATGTTCATAAAAAAATGGAACAAAAAATCTCTTTTGTATTTCGCACTCAAACTTGCATAAGCATCACGATGATGCGTGTGATGTAATCGTAAGCAAACTGACATAAACAGTGTTAAAGTGATAAGCTACTGTTTTAGTTATTCAGTGTTTTAGTTTCTTCAGTCATTCAAGTTCACAGTTTGTTTGAAGTTGTCTCTTACAATATTGGTAAGTCTTTCATTATTTTTATAGCCCTTTAACATTTCCTTTGTCGTAAATTACTCTAATTGACACAACTAAAAAAACAAAGATGTTTTAATTACTCACACTTTAGTTAAATTCATCGAGTATATTAAAAAATATTAGCCCGTTCCCGATAGTTAAGAGAAACACTAGGTCTAATGAATATTGCTCTTAATATTAACTGAACGTTTATAGAATCATAGGTATTTAGTTCATAAGTAGTTTGAATTGAATGTGATTTAGGGACAAGAAATTAAATACATCTTCCCGTCTCATCTTTGAATTAATTAAGGAGGTATATTAATTGTTTACGTGATTGAAATAGTTATTCAAAACATTCGTAATCCCATACATAGCGATGACAAAATCCGAACAAAAGACCTGTCGCTGCAGTTATAGGGGACAGGGAAACGAAACACACATGGCTTAAAATTGCACGTAAGTTGGCCTACGAACCCTTGTGATGAAATTGTCTTAGTTTGCATTGTCATAATATTTTTACATAGGTTTTTATATCATTATAAAAAACCTACTTACTAGTTCAAAGTACCTATTTCAGAGTAAAACTAACAAATAAATAATTTGAAATTATTACACCGAATAATATGTATGTAATATAGATGACAGGTAAATATTCAAAATAGGCATTATATCTCCTATACCGAGTAATACCGATTATATCTCCGATTTTACATGAGTATTTATCTAAAATAATAAAGAAATACCCAGTATTTATTTATTCATTTTGAGTAGCTATTTTATATTAAATATCTCATACAAAATATACGGTACATTGCAGGTACAGGTAACAGGTCGCAATGCAATAAATAAATAAGGTAAAGCGAAGAAAAAAATAAATTTTTTGAACACGATATACAAATGCTTTTTGTTAAAAGCATGGTGAACACCTTTTCTTCTCCAATATCATAAATTCACAATATAGCCTGCTGCTATGTTCCATGATCCCAACTCAGGTAGAGAGTGAGATAACAGATAACTATAGATAGATCCCTGTCCCTCAATCGCACGCCCGCCGCCCATTCGACTTTAAAAATGGCGGGAAGTCCTTTGTGTACTTACCAGCAAAGTATTCTAATCTGAACGCACCCATAAGTTCATAGACAACGTACGGGAAAATATGAAGCTCCAACAAAACAAACATGTCCGACTTGTGACTGTGACCTAGCGGATTTCATTTCTACCAAACGATATGATATCGTTCTTCTCAAAACTCTCTCTAAATAACTCACAAAAGCCGCCAGTGGAGCTCGCGAAGCCAGCTTATATGGACAAAAGTGCGACACTACAGGAGTTAGGGTATAGAGATGAGAACGACTTGAAAGAAACAATATACGGTTTGTTTTGATCAGTTTTCGTGTTGTTTTGGACTAATTGGGTTGGTTATTTGTGGCTTTAACGTGTGTTGTGGTGTTTTAGACTTTTTGCGGACGATACGGGACCCTGAAAAGCCGAGTACGCTCGAAGATTTGAAGGTGGTTTATGAAGAGGGAATTTTTGTGAAGGAGCCTACTGCCGATAAAGTTCCCGTGTTACGAGTGGAGTACAATCCTACAGTGCCTCATTGTTCGCTGGCGACGCTAATAGGGCTGTGCATTCGTATAAAGATACAGCGTTCGATACACCATCCTGTGAAATTGGATATTTATATCAAGAAAGGCGCACATACCACTGAAGATGAAAGTGAGTATTGGCATTTACTTAATCGCGTACAAAGGTCACAAAGACATTAATTCTGTATGAATCTATTGCTTTTTATTCATTATTTCGATTCTGTAGCATCAGTAATGTATTGTTAGATATCTATTAATGTGCAATTCAAAAATAGTTCCAACATAATCCATTGTGTTGTTATAAAAATTAATGCAAATACTTTTTGATGTCATTGTTGAAATACAATATTTTTTCTGCAAAACAAATTTTAATAAATTAGGTAAATTATGTATTTACATAAGAAATTCTAGCAATTAGGTATTTATATGATTTTAAAAGATTTTATTTTGATTAATTATTATAATGACCTTGTTTCCATCAGCTGACTATGACATTACTGAAATTACAGTTAATTTTGTCATGACTATAAATACCATAATAACTAATTAAAGTAATTTTGTATTTAAAAATACACAATAGGAACTCAAATAAAATATAATTTACTTTTTTTCTGATAAAATGAGTAAAAATAAATTGAGCTTTAATACTAATACAATTAGTATTAAACATTTATTTATTCATACTAAATTGTCCACTTAATTATTATAAAATTACCACTCACAATGCAATAATAACTAAAACACTGAATACAGTAGAATTATTATTTAAATTTGATTAGGCTACTTATAATTTCTTTTTTTAATACTAAGAAGTCTAGTTTGGTTTATTTTAAACATTCATGTAGTTAACAAAGTTATTAATAATCATAAAAATATAGTCTTCAATAAATTAAATAAAGATAATTATATTATAAACTATGTTTAAAAAAAAACTGACTTTAACCCTCTCTTTTTGGAGTCTGTTAATTAATATACTTAAACATTCTCCTAAGTGTAACTAACAGTTTAAAAAAATCGCATCAAAATCAGTTCAGCCTTACACATGGTAATCACCACAAACATACATACATACATACAGGTCCTACTGAGAACCTCCATTTTTTTTTTAAATCAGTTAACAACTAACTTATAAACGGAAGAAATATTACTATGTCATATAAAGTAGTTTTAAATTAACATTTATTCTTGTGTGATTAAGATAAATAATTTAAATCTACTTTTATAACTTGAATTGCATGTTTATTACCAGCATAAATCTCGAAAACGACTGGACTCGTTAATTTTTTTACTATCATGCTATTAGAAAAGTTTATGTACAGAATATAGAAATAAACTTAAATTGTTTCTTATTGACTTCCTCGTTGGCCCAGTGGTCGTAAGTATGACTGCTGGGAAAGGAGTCTCGGGTCAGGCAAAAAGTATTACTGGGTTTTCAAAAAAATCTCAGTATCAGTAGTAGCACAGAGTCTGGAATTGTGCTTGGTATATGGCAATATACTCACCCCCTATTTACATGGGACTCATAACATAAATAGAGAAAAGTGGGTGTTACATTGTACAGTGGCATAATGTGTGCTTCTGCCTACCCCTTCGGGAATAAAAGGCGTGACGTTATGTATGTGTTTCTTATTGCCTTATGTTTTGAAAGTTAGTAAAGTCTAATTAATATTTAGAATGAGATGACTAATATTCATTATTGATACTATCTCACAGAACCCATTGTCAACCAATATGAATGACACTGACTCATCAAATTAATGTTTGGACTCTTTTGGCGTTTAAACACACAGACAGATATATAGATAGGAATATTCCATTATTATCTAAATGGCACAAAGAGTTGTTACGTCATTAGATTATCTGAACTAAGTAACAGTGTAGATAGGGCTGTCAATATGAGATGCAAAATTAGGATGATTTTTGTATTTTCTAGATAAAAATTTTGCTATGTATTCATATCAAGAGCGTCCTCGTTTTTTAAGGCCGGCTACACATTTCACAGCTCTTCTTGTGTTGCAATTTGCGGGTGTCTGTGGGTGGCGTGGCGCTCATCACAATTTGTTGATCCGTATGCCTGTTCACCCCTTGTCCCATAAAAAATAGCATAAAAGCGTTGCACCTTCCATTTCCCCTAACCCTAACGAGTAAGGTAATAAGGGTGTAAATAGTAAATGTCCAACACTGAAACCTATCTTTGACGAGTTATGAAACGACAGATAGTGTTAGACTCTCACTGACTAAAAACCACCCCGTTCCCACTTCTGCTTGAACTTATGTCGAGTTATTAGTCCTATGTCCACATTCACGGGAGACGTGCGTATCCTCTACATTTATGTAAAAAGTAACACTTTCATTCAAAGTTTCATTTGCTCTTTCTATTGAATAATTTAGGTTTATTTTTAAAACAGCATTTTCATAAATTTTACATAATGTATGAAGAAAAACATGGCATAGCTTACTCGCGTAACTGTTCGACGTTGTAGCACTTGCTGCTCATAATTATGGACCCCAGGCGCGGTTTGAAACTAATTGAGTAACCTTGTGGAAAAGATTCGAGAGTAAGCCGTAAACCCGGTAATGTAATCTCAACCTTATGTATACTTTACAAGTTTTAAAATCATCAAACAATCTTTCTATGTCCGACACAATAAACAGTACACAAGAACAAACAGTTCATTAAACCCAGCTTGTAATTGAATCTCATAATTAAATCATAATGCTAATTAGGTAATTCAAAAGCAGAAATAAATTAACTTTACTGAGCTAGCATAAATAATGTAAGTCTAGCATAACATTCTCAAGATAATACATTCGCATGACTCAAGTGAACTTTCTTATCACCAGACAAGTCTTGTTTATATTCTAACTTATGCAATTAACTTTTTATTAGGCCTTTGTCTTGTAATTGTCCTCCATCAGACAGTATTCTGTAACACTAAACTCTTAACTATATTTCTCTTTAACCATTCAACTGTCTTTTGCAATTAGGTACATATGTGCGTAGTCAACTGAAGATGTGCCTTCAAGGCTTCAACACATTTACAGAAAGTCAAAGACTTGATTATGGAAAATCGCGGGTTACTCACGTGAATGTACTGAGAAAAGCTCTACTAGTTTCGAACCACAGAGGGGTTCTTCCTTATGAGCAGCGTGCGCGGTCATGAACAGTGAGCTGCGCGACGTCGCCGCGAAGCTCACTGTTCGAAACCCTCTGTGGTTCGAAACTAGTAGAGCTTTTCTTAGTATATTCACGTGAGTAACTCGCAATTTTAGTTAATTTACTATGTCTCACGATAGTTATTATAAAGACTTGATTATGGTTTAATGTTATGGGGCTTTTTTGAAGCCCGCAGCGGGTCTATTTAAAGGCATAGTCAATGTCGAAGTCACCATAGGAATCTACACTTTGGAACGAGCAAACAGCTTCACTAGAAGACTAACAAAAAGACTGACACTTTAAAACTTTTTGTTTCACGTTCAAAAGTGCCTTGCATTTCTGGTCTAATTGAAATACTTAAATGATTTCAACTCACACAATTAATATCACTAATATTATAAATGCGAATGTTTGTGAGTTTGAGTGTTTATTTGTTAGTCAATCACGGCTAAAGGGCATTTTTCAAATAGGTATTACCTAATGATAACAATTTATTTACCCATCACTCATTAACGCGTAACTTGGTGACCCGAAAACCAAATTCCAGAGTCCATATTTTTATGTCAATTAAATACTTAAACGCGAGCGTTACCGTAAACAATGCATATTAAACTCTGTACAATTTGTGCCGTAACCTCACTGAAGTGCATGTTCACTTAAATGGATACATGTACCAAAATATAGTAGGTAATGATCAATTTTGTTCTGCATTCTAGGTACCTATTAAGTTTTATAAAAAATCTATACCTATATTTATTTTATTTAGAATATCATCTCTAGTGTTGAGTAATAGAGTTAAAAATGTAAAAGCAGCTGTCGAAAATTCTGTACTTCTATGTAAGTACAATTTTTAGGTTGCCAACTAACAAGTTTGTGTACCTGCTGAGCATTGGGTACGATACCCGACACTTCCAAACTGACTGTTTGTAGTTTTTTTAGTTACACATATTCGGCTTTGAGCACTGGACCCTTCAAAAAAAATCTACCATAGGAAAACCTTATTTTTACCGACCTCAAAAAAAGTTATATCATTATAATATGAGCGTATGGCGCCGACTTCTAACCTACCAGTGGGTGGGTAACCTATCAGTACTAATAATAGTTATTTTTTGCTTTCAGTTTTTATTACTTTTTACCATTTGTTGGTTATTTAGTTTTTGGTTTTTGAAGTCGGTTTTTTCAAGAAGTAACATAGGCTACTCTTTATCCCAAATTTCTTCAGGATCGAGACCTAATCCAAGAAAGAATTCTATATTACGGCAGGCGAAACCGCCAATAAAAAGCTAGTAGTACTTAAAAATAAAAATGTTAAGATACGACTTGTTTTTATGACACGGTGCGGTAAGAAGTTGTTATTGAAATTATCTAAGTGACAGATAATAAGATAGTGCCGAACAAATATTTATGTATGCCGAGGCGTTAAAGTATCTCTCCACTTTATACGAAGCAAAACAATGATATTTTTGGCATTTAAATATAAATATTTGGTATTTTAATGATTCTGTAATCACGTACGTCACTAGGGTTGTGAGTGATGTTGCTGGTTGGCGACGGCATACCGATATAAGTAAATCATAAAGAAAATATCACAAGAGTCTCGTGGGCCGAGTGGTCGCAAGTGAGACTATCGGACAAGGGACACCGTCTAGTACATGGGACTCATAACATAAATTGTGAAAAGTGGGTGCTACATTGTACAGTGGCATTAAATGCCGTAATGTGCACCTCTGCCTACCCCTTCGAGGATAAAAGGCATTATGTATGTATCTATAGATAAAGAAAATAGTTGCCAACGTTCTTCATGATTTATTTATAACGGCAACATATTCAATCAGTGTTATAATTAGTTAACTTTGTTTCTTTGCATTCATCATCATCTTTTGTCATCCGCTAATGAACTTAAGCCTCTCCAATAGCGTGTCACAGGACTTGATCTTTAGCTCTTCGTGTGTAAATACATGCAGTTAACTTTGATAGTATTGCATGTACCTACGTCTTCTCTCCGGAACCCATTCTCTTATTCATCATCATCAGCCTTGCCTTAATACGTCTACTGCTGAACAAAGATCTCCCCCTTAGTATTCCTTACTAAACGACAATAATAATTCGCTACTTGTATCCATTAGACTGCACGGTTGGTGCGGTGGCTAGGCAACCGGCTGCTGTGCAATGTGTCGCGGGTTCGATTCCCGCACGGAACAACACTTTGTGTGATTCACAAATTGTTGTTTCGGGTCTGGTTGTGATTTGTATGTTTGTCAACGCACTCACGACACAGGAGAAAATCCTAGTGTGGGGCAAAGTATAAAAAAATATGAAAAAAATTATCTACGAAGACTATTGTTCTTATTGCGTCCACAAAATTGTAAAACCAGCGCTGAGCGCTGCTACTGTCTCATATCGGAAATTTGAACGTTATTTGTTCTTCAAATTCCAGTGATAGATAAGTTCTTTAATTGCTTCTGTAATTTAGTGGTTGCATGCCATTAGCAAGCGCGTGGGCACGTAGTTTTGTACTTGGACCCAAATGGACAAATTCCTTTTCTTTTTTTTTATGCAAAAGGCGAGCCTTTTTGCTTTATGATCATGACGTGACTAGCAAAAAAATAATGTACCTGTAAGACCCTTTCCTCATCTTTGGTCCTTGTTTATTCTGTATGCACATTGTACTGTACAGGCAAACTGCCAATGCCAAATTCAACTGAATTGAAAAATAGTAAGGTTGAAAATCCATTAAAGAAATACATATTGAGATAGCTTTGTATGCTATCGTCTGTCCATTTGAAAGAAAAATAACTCGTGGACAATATTATGGCAGTAAGTATGTCACACGTTACTGCTTTGGTTTGTTCAGTTGGTTTTTTTTTCAAAAGTTTCAAATGACAATATTGTTATTGTGTTCTTCATGACTACTACACTACTATATACTCTGACAATAATACTGTGTAGAGGGATTTTTTTTTAATCATCAGAGAGGAGAATCATTGAATGACTTCTCCCGCCTGGGCGAGGCGGGAGATAGTGTCAGACTCTTACTGACTAAAAACCACCCCGTTCCTACTCCTGCACTTAGAGCCGGAGCCCCGGTAACCCGTTAAGTTCTCTGCGGCTCCGTTGTGTAGACGGATAGAATCAGATTAACCACATAACCTCTTTTGTTCATTACTGAAGTTGTCTAGCGACTTGTTCCAAAGTATGGATTCATAACTTTCTGTATTACGACCAACTGTTTTTCGAAGTAAAATTACCCAAACTAGTTATGGAGGAAAGGCGCCAGAACTCCAAACTTGGTTTTTAAAGTTCCAACTTCTCCTTCAGAGTAAAAGCAAACAAAGTAATGATAATGATATTATGTTATTAATTCGATAAATCCTCAGATGTGTTGATAAGAAATTGTTTATTTGCACTTTCTAGATGATCCCGTTGCCTAGAAGAGATAAAGAAAGTAGATTACGGTTGCTACTTTGTTTTATCGATTTTGTATTCATATTTGTGCTGAAATGCACCGATAATTGCCTTATTGATTGAATTTTAATTGCTGAGGTCGATTCAAGCAACATGTTAGGTTAAACATTAATTAGGTTTTTGGGTATGCGGAAATTGTCAGTAATAACCGAGGCGGATTAAACCCAGATAGTATCCTAGGCAACCACCTCATTTAAGTTCCCCTATTTGTTTTGGCGCCGCTGCCACTATATTAGCTTTACGCTGTCGTGGTGACCCGGAGGTTTAAGACGGGTTCGAAACCGACCAGCATCAAGTACCAATGTGACTTTTCCGAGTTATATGTACTATCTAAGATTATTTAGACACCACTGACAAACGGTAAAGGAAAACATCGTGAGGAACCAAACTTATAATTTCTAATTATAAGTTTGGTATTGCTACCCGAATCGAGCAAGCATGACGATTAATGCTCAAACCTCCATGTGAGAAGAGGCCTTTGGTCAACAGTGGCCACTTATAAGCTGATGATGATGATGTTGTTGCCCTTCTATGTGCGGTTGGCACGCGCGTCTCGCAGTGACCCTTTTTGGCGCCCCATTTACCTTAGAAATCGTAATAATACGGCCATGTGTAATAGCATAAATCATGCCATTATGAATTGTGTATGACAATAAACCCCTTTTTGGGCCCTCTGAATAGGCAAAAAGTGGATAGTACATAAAAGACGTGACGCTACTTGTTATCTATCACTGCCCATAGTGCAAATGATAAGGTTGAAACTCTTACGACCTTTTAGCCTTTTCTATTTATACACTTATCTTCATAATTATCTATTCTATGGGAACTGTTTTCATACTATCCACACTTGATATCAGCAAGGTTACCGTTTGTTTAAATATTTATACTTGTGTAAACTGAAAGATATGTTATAAATACGGAAGCGATTCTCTTTGATGTAATATGTAAGTTAATACTTTGACTGCAGAGTTGAAAATGGTGATACGAGTTTTATGTGTAGCTGTGTGACACCTCCACCTGTAACGTTAGACACCATGCATGTCTCTGCGTCGTCTAGTAATGATTGTTGTCGAACAAGGCTATGGAATACAGAGCATTTGCAACAAAAGACTGTATCCCTCGCCTTCATTTTATAATTTAATATAGTAAAAATATATTATATTTCGCCCGTGAAATCCAATAAAACAATAAGTTCATCTGAACCACTGGAATTATTTTGTAAGGAGATTTGCATCGTACTTTAACAATCATGTGTCTTTAGCGCAGAAAAATATGGAAGGTGCAAAAGTCGCTGGCAAGTTGAACATGAGCTAATATTGACTGTAGTTTTTAAGGCATCTGTCTTTTTTTGCTCTCCACAAATGTTATGTAACCGACATGAGGACTATGTTTTTGTTTGAACACGTTGTTTTCGACTGATACTCGAATTTTGCTTATCCTTGAGAAAGGTTAAATAGGTATCAACATTGTAAATAACTTAATGAGATTCCGGAACTGTATTTGCTCCTAACTTATATCAACATCTACAATTGTACAGCCCATTGACAGTCCACTGCTAGATTATATCTCTTCACAAGGGAGTTTTCCAAAGCTTCACGATTCACGTATGGCAGACGGATTGGAAATCGCAGTTACGTGATCGCAGTTGGCTCTTACACCCACAAGAAATACAGTGCCTTTAGCCAAACACCTCTTTAGCGCTCTTGTCTCCTGAGAGAGTAGAAAATTAAATGTATAGGGATGACACTGACAAGTGTCAAAATTTACGGCAATTCGATACAATTTAGTTTTCTATTGTTCAATGTAGACAAGCGTTAAATGGCATTTGGCTACAGCTGCAGAGGCGGTTCAAACGCATTCTACTCTACCGTCACTCGGAGTCGCGGAGAACCTAACGGGTAACCGGGGCTCCGGGTCGACGTGCAGGAGAAGGCACGGAGTGGTTTTTAGTCAGTAAGAGTCTGACACTCCCTCCCGCCTCACCCAGGCGGAAGCAGTCATTCGATGATTTTCCCCCCTTAAAAAAAAACTACCGTCACTGCATTATGAAAGATTTTACAAGATGTGACTCGAAACTTATGAACAAATATTGATGAATCAAAGTTTCTAGAGACGGTTGTTGACGTATGTAAAGCCAGGGAAAATCCTATTGTCTAGCTAATTATAAAATAAATCACATGATAGACAAATGCAAATAACAGCTAGCTGAAAAATAAACTACAAATAAAGCATAATCATTTTGTCAATGACCTTCCAAAGTTATGGAGCAAGGTCGCATCACACGTAATGAGTTTCAATGTATTTGTTTTCATAATCATTTTGCGAACATTCTCGTGAATATTTTGGCAAGTCATTAACATTGATGGATGATACGTAGACATATAGATGAAAGTAGCTTACAACCGACCGATCGGAAAGTCATGGGGGTCGTCTATGGACAGCAGGAGACGTCTTGTGGCTGCAGCGGTGATGATATCATTATTATTGTCATCATTGACATACATTCTCATACCACTGCTCTTTAAAAGCAAGCAAAAATTAACGCAACCACCTAGCTTGCCATGTATAGTTCTTTGAAACTAATGTCAAAAACGATAGTAATCCAAAGATTTGGGATTGATTAAGTTTGTTGAATTCAATCGTACGACTGCTTCATACTTTGCACTTCATCTTTTTCGAGTAACTAACTCTCCAATGACGTCAGTCATAATGAATGTCTAAATATAGCTGCAAAAACACTTGTTTATCTCATCTCATGTAATCATGGATTTGTAGTTAAACTTGGAGTCACAACCGGTTAGTAAACAGTAGCGATCTAACCGGTCTAGACTTCTTGTTGGCTGTTTATAGACTGTAACGTTACGAACGAAAGGATTCTGCGTGGGGAGGTTGTTGCTAGGCTGATTGGTGCAATATTTCTTTCGTATGTTTAGGTAAATATAGTATCAGTCATAACAGCAAAACTTCGGAACAATTTTTGTCGGTCTACATTCTCCAAGATACCTGTTGCCAAACAAAAGTTATCTATTTATACTCTCTTTGTGTATCTTGGTAGTAAAATGATTAAAAAGGGTCTAATCCTTATTATGATCCTAAGAACTTTGTGTCCTCGATAAGGCATTGTAAAGAAAGCTTATCTTATCAACTTGTTGTTTGCACTTTGATTTATAATTGCTCCATTTCTCTTGTTACAGTTAACAAACAAATCAACGACAAAGAGAGGATTGCAGCTGCAATGGAGAACCCGAACTTGAGGAATCTTGTTGAAAACTGTATTGCTGACGAAGAATAATCTTACAACAATGGCGCCCGACGCAGCTTTCTCCAATATTAGTGACAAAAACGAATTCACAAAGTTCACAAAATTTTTAGCTTATAAAGGCGTCCAAGTTATAGTAGAATCGAGGAAAGGACTTAAAATAGAACCAAATAGTAAACCACAATCGTCAGATTCTGATTGGTTCAATCTCCAAATTCCCGACACTCCTGAAGTCAACCAAGCAACGAAGAATGCTCTTCCATCAGACAAAATCCTTGAAACTATCAGATCACAACTGCACGTTGAAATATCAGTCCAAACGGAAGATGGTGATGAAATGGTCCTCGAGTTATGGACCTTAGAGTTAGATGAGAGCCAGTTTGATACCTCCTTGAAAGCTATGAACACGGTATATTTCCGGATGGGGATTTTACTAAAGTCTTTGATCACAGTTACGAGAATAACCCCCGCGTATCACTTATCAAGAAAGCAGAGGATGGAATCTTTTACTATTTTCTATAGAGTTTACAGTGGGGAACCCAAAGTTAACGCCCTTGGCGACTCTGTCAAGAAGATACAAGCTGGGATGCTGAAAACTCCTCTTGGAGCTATATGCTTCTCAGTTTCATACAGAACCAACTTCTCTATATCCCCAAACCGAACTGATAAAAGCAACGTGTTGCTACTAAAGAGCGATCACTTCGAACTCAGTCCAAAACACGTGATATTTGAATCGAAAAAAAAGAGGGAGCAAAAAAAGGAACCCAAAAATTTTGGACCTGTCGACCTAAATAAACCATTACGAATGGCAGCTTTTGCGGATGAAGATATTATCATGCAGGTCTTCGACGATTTCCTCACCAAGATCCCGGTTCCAAAATGCAGGAAGAGATCTAAAGCTCAAATTAAAAGTAGTGCTATGGAGATGCAAAGCACACGAGATCTGGACCTCACAACTATTTCCAAAAGTCCGACCTCAATGGAAATGCCACCGAAGAAATTCTCAGGTTTCCGAAATGAGAATGAACCACCTTTAAAGCTCCTGCATTTTCCTTTCGCTGATGATCATCCAATCAGAGAACTTGCGGAGTTTTATAAAGACTTCTTCAACGCTCCACATTTGAAGTTAGCTGATGATCTTGCAAGATCGAAATCCAAGAGTCCCGAGTCAGTTAAAGAGATGGAATTGGCAAGTGAAGATTTGTCAAGGGACCTTGAGGTGTATGAGAACTCTGTACTTGAATTTGATGAGTTGATTGCTGAGATGTGCAGATCGGCAGAATGGAGCGGGAATTAGGGAGCAAAATGAGACCATGAAAACGGTATAGGATGACCCACTTCTCAAAAGCGCGCTGTGTGACTTATGTTTATGCACAAATGATTATATTGCGCTTTTAATATAATTATTGAAATCTGCATTGTATAAAGTGTGCCATTATAGCTTTATACTAGTTTCTCTGAGCATTAAGAAGTGAGTTGCCCTACCATATTTGGAGGTCGGTGAAGGATTGAAGACTGATTAATCTGGACGATTTTATAGTTCTGAATACTTGATAAGGGGTGTTTGTGATGGCAATGGACTATGAATGATATCATGTCAATGAACAATTATCCTTATAACGTGATGTAAATACAAGCTGGTCTAATGATGATTTTGCTAAAATGTTTTGTTTCTACTATACTATAATATTCAATGTCTGTAATGTTTTATCTGATAAATGTATGAAATAGTAATTGAAATTGTATTAGGATTGCCTTTATTGTCTTGTAATTTACTATAATAGTAATGCACTGCTCTCCATAATGTTAATAATGACGTATTGATATAATAATGCTATGTATGTTTGTGAACTTTTAGTTTATATTCTTGATTCGGTGTATGGTTCCAAAAATGCAGTTTCATTCTGCTCAATGTTAGTGTTTGTATATATTATTTAATATACATTTTAGTTTGCATCGTTTTCGAATTATTTTAATTTACCTATTATGCATAAGGCTTTTTTACTTTTAATTTATGCTGAAGTTGTGATGATATGATTGGTTTGCCAATCTCTGATGCCAAATGATCACTGGATCATTTACTTTAGCAAACGGTCTGAAAACTGATTTTTTAATGTTATGTAGCTTATTATACACATTATATAGTACACGCTGTTCTTATAGGTCATCGGTTACTCAATGACATTATTGACGTGAATTTTTTCCGAGTTCCAAAAATCATAAAGGAATTTTGCTGATGCCTATCACCAGATTTCAAAGACTTGGGCGACATAGAGGGCCCGCAGCGCCATCTGGCGCAAGTCGTTGATACTTAAACTAGCGTGTTTACTTATTAATAAATGATTTGAGATGATGATTCAGCAATGTGTGAGAACTGATGTATGTTCATTTAAATTATAAATGGGATCGGCAGAGATGCGATTGTACGCTTAGTATAGTGATAATTGGGCTATGCCAATAAAAAGGAGTAGACCTCTCATCAAGAGGTGGAGATAAGAGATTTAGTCTTTTTGTGCTCCTCCTGGTGTGATTAAACATAGCAAGATATTCTGAGATCTTTGGTATCTGAAATGAACACCAGTGCCCCAAAATTTGATTGAATTTTGTTGTAAAATTATTGCTAACAAAATACTCGAGTCAAAAATTCCGCCTAGAACTCTGCTGATCCTCAAGAGCAAGTAATTTTTCTATTACTTAGCTATTTTCCAAATAATTACCTACTTGTAAATAGTTATTAATTGTATTAGAATGACTTGTGTAATTCAATTTAATGTTTTATTTTTATATTCCTATTATTTGTAAGTTGTGGTACAAACTTTTGAACTACCGGATCATTTTATTTCTTAGATATTAGATAGCATGTTGCATGATGAAAATATAAAATGAATTATAAATAAAAATTATTTGCTCACATTTATGTTTGTAGCTAGATAATCGTCTGAATAAATAAGGATATTTACCAATTCCACTTGGCTTTAATTTACCTACTGCTTACGACTCATTTTTGAACTAAGTATTATTTAATAATACCGAACAAAATTACGACCTAATAAGTAGATAGTGGATAATACAAAATCTAGGCACTGTTAGACAATCTACAGCCAAAAATAATATAAAGATACCTAGGTAGGTACCTATTGTACGTATGATGTGGTCAGTTTAAAATAAAGGATAAAAGAACAAGGACATGATATAATAGTTATTTGTGACCATTTAGAAACTTATTTCACCTCCTCAACACCTCAAGATAAATCTTGAAATTGAATTATAGTTCTAGAACTTGAGAAATCTTGAGACTTATTATACTCTTTGCTTTCAATGTTAGATAACATTGAATGATTGAAAAATAAAATTGTAGTCTCTGGTTAGATGACCTTGATGAGTTTCGTTCTGAATTTAAAGTAACGGTTTTGTATCATTGCTTCCAATAATTTCTTTTCGTGTTTGAGAAACAAATACCTAAAACAATACATAAACATTAATTTATCACTTCCTATGAACTACCTACATTAGTAGTTTATTTGGACGAAATAATATTTCTCCTTTATCTATCAACTCTACAATATCACTGGTACAATTTCCAAACGCACACAACGTTGTTGAAATTGAAATCATTGAAGTGTCAAACTGTCAAGCAAGAGACGCAACAGCATCTCAAAATAAACAACAGTGCTAATAAATAAATGACTAACAATACAATGCTCTAAGAGTTTAATAAAATATGTGAAAACAGTAAAACTATTAATGCTAATTTACTTTTAGTTCTTAATTTTAAGTGGTAGATTTAGAACATAACCTCAAAAAGTACGTGAGCTCAAGATGTTTTCTATTTGCCGGCAAACGCATCCTGCTACAGGAATTGAGCATGCAGTTAGCTGCTGCTTCTTTAACAATGAAGAAACATGTCTCGTTACCGCTGGAGCCAACATCATCAAAGTTTTCCGATTGTTACCTGAAGGACAAACAAAAGAGGTTAACGCCGGTAAGTTTTAGTTTATGGATTTTTATGGCCTACTTCTAAGCGTTTTTGCTTACAAACCTTAAATAGTAAATTCGGAAATTTTCTCTGATGATTTTAGTATCAATTTTGTTTGTTTTCTGTTGTTTTCATGTTCTTAGCTTTACAAACAACAATCATCATAATAATAATAATTATGCCACATCAACATCGTCTTGGATTTGCTCAAACATACTTACATTAAAATCTTCGCTCTCGAAAACTTGAAGAGTTCGTAAATATTAAATTGATACAAAACTCCTTCAGACTTAAAACTTTGAACGTAAAACTAACATAGGTACTTGAATAAAAAATTAGGCTAGATAACCATATCTATAGTCAGAATTTTAATTAGATTCCAGATTTGACAATAGCTATTGTCATTTTGTGAAATAATGATACCACATATAATGTAGTGTAGTGATGCACACAAAAATCGATAAACAATCAGTGTGTGTGTTTTATAATAAATGTTACAGAAAGTGACAGGATAGCGATAGCGGTGACAGCGACAATTTATAAAATAACTTATTACCATAATACATCTATCTGTTTTATTTGTCATGTTCCTTCATGATTACATTTTTTTATTTATTTCACACACAATTATAAAAGAAAAGTCTCAGATCGTTAATTATACGTCATAACTAAATTGTCGGTTCAGAAATATTCAATTTCCTGATATACTTAGTTTACGAGAGTAAAATTATAAAAGAGAAGAATCGATCCAGAAATATTGCATTTCCATATCGAATAATTTCACAACGTCACTATTTAGTATTTGTCATAACGTTGCAACACTGAAATTGTCAAATCTGGAATCGAATTAAAATTTTGACTATATTGCCTGTATCCATATCCATATCCTGACTCAGGCAAAATATTACTAGACTTTTAAAAAAATCTCAGTAGTAGTACAGTCTGGAATTGTGCCCTGTATATGCCAATAGGTTCTTCCCTTATTACATGGGACTCATAACATTAAAAGTGAAAAAATAAAAACTGCGTTTAAAAAACCGACTTCAAAAACCAAAAACTAATAACAAACAAAAAGTCAATATTAAAAAGCAAAAAATAACTATTATTAGTACTGATAGGTTACCCACCCACTGATAGGTAAGAAGTCGGTGCCATAAGTTCCATACAAAATTATTCATTAAAACCTTAATAGGTATCTAGGTAATTTACAATTTTGTGGACATTAAGTTATATCATTATGATATGAGCTTATGGCACCGACTTCTAACCTATCAGTGGGTGGGTAACCTATCAGTACTAATAATAGTTATTTTTTGCTTTTTAGTATTGACTTTTTGTTTGTTATTAGTTTTTGGTTTTTGAAGTCGGTTTTTTAAACGCAGTTTTTATTTTATTATTTTACCATTTTCAGTGTAAAGCTACATATACCCGTTTTGTTACTTATAATATACATAGGTGCAAAGTCCTCATCAATACAAATTAATCAAGCCCAAACTCAAGGTAGTTACTGTATACCGTTGAGGAGTTCCCTTAACAATTACACTTCTTCATCATGAGACCCTTAATGACAGTCCCACTCTATCTAGGTGTAAAGTCCTCATCAATACAAATTAATCAAGCCCAAACTCAAGGTAGTTACTGTATACCGTTGAGGAGTTCCCTTAACAATTACACTTCTTCATCATCAGACCCTTAATGACAGCCCCACTCTATCTAGGTGTAAAGTCCTCATCAATACAAATTAATCAAGCCCAAACACAAGGTAGTCAATATAAACCGCTGAGGAATTCCCTCGACTGTCTGTCGACTCCATCATCAGGTCGACTTCAGACCCTTATCAAATTGTAGTGTTTAAAATTCGTAATTGAAAAACATAATAGGCGCATTACTCCCCCATAGAATTTTCGAAAGTTCCCCTCGGTTTCCCTAGGATCCCATCATCAGATCCTGACTTCATGGAAATGGGACCATCTCGGGAGTATACCCTTTCAAACTAAACAAAAATTTTCGAAATCGGCCCACAAACGGCGGAGTACTGCGCGAACAAAAAAAAAAAATAAAAAAAATCAGCCGAACATAGTACCTCCTCCTTTTTTTGAAGTCGGTAAAAATGGGTGTTACATTGTAAAGTCACATTAAATGCCGTAATGTGCATCTCTGCCTACCTCTTCAGGGACAAAAGGCGTGATGATACCTATAACCATTCAAAATTTATGTAAACCTCTTGATTGTTTGTTACAAGATATAATAAAAGAAAGGCAATTTGACCAAACCTATAAAACGTTGACTAAGCATTTTAGTGACCGTAGAGCTCCATTTTT